CAAGAAACAACATGGGAGGATCAGGTCCAATTATTGTAAACAAAACTCTTGCCTTCATTTCCACGTCCTATGCAAAAACATCTTGAGAACAAAAAAAAGGAGATGAAAGAGAGAATAATGATAGCATTGGCTGTTGATGATGACGGTGATAACAAACATGGGAAGGTGCAAGGTCCCAATTCTATAACAAAAACTCCTGCATATGGTTCTCTTGCAGACAATAATTTGATTTTCTTTTGGATCACAAGCTGCCTCTGTAGTGAAAAATGGTATGACCTTCCCAACTTAATTCGTTAATTCCTGGTGACCAAAAAAGGCTTCCCTTTCAAGAAAGTATTGACAAAATTATGCAGGTTGACCAGAACGGTAGATTGTTACAAGTTGCACCTCTGGAGTCATTATATACCCCAACCACCAGCAATCTCTCCTTGAAGGACATGGTCTGTCTGATAGATAAAATGTGGAAGATGAAACTGATTACGGAAGAAGAAGAGAGAAGGACAGCGAAAGTTCCTTGGATACTACACCTAGTCTTTGAACCATAAGGGGACAACTCAAGGTGGAAGAGCAGTTTCAACGACTTTATTGCCAAGAGTGGTGGATTTGTGGCATTTAAATAAAGCATATATAATTCTTTAACTCAGATGCCATTTTAGGAAAATTTTGCATCTTTAAATGAAAAACCCTGTGATCTCCTTCCTTACCTCGCCTGTAAAGAGTACAGGACGACCTTCCTTGGCAGCCTTAATCGCATCAAATTTACTTTCATGTTCAAACCATGTCCTGTGAGCAGCCCACCGTGATGCTGCACCCTTTTGAGCCATAACAATCAAGAAATCATATACATGAGTTCAAGAGTTAAAGAAAAGTAAATTATCCCCTATCACATGAAAAGTTTTAGGCAAAGGCAATCATATTCCATGAAACTAAATACTTGCTACTTTCCATATTTAAGCAGCCCATTGAAACTGTTTCAACACCTGGATGCAGTACAACTCACTGAATCATTGAAAAAACTTCGAAACTGGAATGCAAATGCTGTAATAAGGTTGTCTAGAGTCATATTTGTGATTTAACTCAAATAATTGTATCTGTATGTACATGAAACATAACATTGATATATTTATACAAACCAGGGTTTCGAACAAGAAATCAGATAGTTACCTGACAGTATATCGACTCATGCAGAAGAGCATACAGTGGATTCGTATCAAAAGACAACCAGTTCTCATACTGCAATAGGAAACATTTTCAACTTAGTGAGACTAAATTCCATTTGACATATCAAAAATTACACAGAAAGAAGAGCACCATGTCCACAATAAATCGACGAGAACATGAAGAATATCAGTGAACAGGCAAATGTCACTTTCTTATCTTTGGATCGGTCACAATCTCAAAAAGCTTCAGAAAATTAGGGATGCAGAGCTGTAAGCTGTATGTGCACATTAGCATGCTTCACATGCCTCACGGCAGAATAGTTCAGCGTCTCTACACCAAAAACAGATGAGACAAGAACAAGCCATGATCCTCTAAAAAGATGAAAGTTCCAGAGTGGCCAAAGATGTAACTTAAAAGCATCAGTACACCAGCCATAGAGACCTTAGGCCATCCAAGAGTATTCAAGTATTGAACTAATCTTGTCCAACCAGGTCTAGTCACATGATTTAAATGCCGGACAAGATATTTCGAAACATATGACAGATTCACAAATCATTCAAGGAATTTGTCATAAACTCCAGTTAAAAACATATACAGAAAGGATTTTGGAAATCTCTTGATCTAGCCCCAGAACGAAAGGCAATCATTGTTATGCTAATTCCTTCTCAAAAGAATCCAAGTCTCTCCTGGAGAGAGAGAGAGAGAGAGAAAGAGAGAGAGAGCGAGAGAGAAAGGGAGAGAGATGATAAATTCTTCCCCAGTATAAATAGTCCCAAGAGGATGACATTAATAGTCCCAAGAGGATGACAGAGAAAACAGCAATTTGATCACAAACTGAGTAGACATCCCTTTGATCTTAAAGGCCAATATAATTAACTTTCTAAAGCTTTTCACAAAGACAGGTATTTCCTTTCAAACAAGTCCTAACATTTTATAGTATATTCCACCAAAGTAGGTACTAGTTAGAAACAGAGAGAAGTTTCAATTACTCAAATTTTCACAGAAAAGGGGAAAAAAAAAAGAAGAAGAAGAAGAAAGCATCTCTTACAGCATTCAGAAAGTTGTAACTTATTCTCTTTCGTTCTCCAGGAACTATTACTGGATCCCATACCCTCTCCAACCTGAGAGTGGAGTAATATAATTGATATTAAAAACAATTATCAGACATAAACAGTTTTAATCTGTGGAGGCAAACTTACATATAGTGCAAGCGTTCAAAACCAGTACTTGATCCCAAAGCAGTGAGACCAAGAATTTGTAATCCCCTGGGAGTCAAGATACCACCAGATGGCAAACGCACCTGTTCCAGTTACATGATCATATCAGATGTACAATATGCACACATGCACATTAAATCAGAATACATGACATAAGGGGAAAGATGAAACCAAATAGAAAGACAGAAGACGATAAATTACTGGATAAATAAATTTAAAACTCCCATGTTCGAAAGTTCTCCTACCCCTCCAGTCTCTGCCAAATGTTTGACAACATCTTGCACAATTTCAATGTCCAGAGGAAATCTCTCATAAAACTTCTCATTCTGATGAACAATCTGTTCAAAGCATGCTCTATATACGGCTTCTGCAGAGCATCCACTTCTGATTGGCGGAATTCCACCAGTTATAAGAGCTTGTTTGAGTCCATGTGGAGCAAAACTCAAGTAAGTTACTATACAGAAGCCTCCATAGCTCTGCAGGAAAAAAGGAGAAAAATCAGTAAAACTCTCTCTCTCTCTCTCTCTCTCTCTCTACATTTTCCTATTTATCAGTTACCACAACCATCTTATACTCATCATAGGTCATAAAAATTCAAAGTTCCATCTTACTTGAGCATATAAAAAGTGTCCTTCAAATTCGTAAAATAAAATATGTACATATGCATGTAATTGGGAGAGAAAGGGGGAGAAGGAGTGGGTGGAGAGAAAGAAAGAGAGAAAAGCCACAGTAATTCTTCAACTAGTCAACTGAGAATGAAATGTTGCTTATGATAAATGAAAACAGACAATGGCAAGGGGATGTTGTCATGCTAAAATCCTTAGTAAGCACAAATGTTGAACATGGTGGAGACGCAAAGAAAGAAGTAACCTGCCCCAAAACCGTCCAGGGTCCACCATCAGGAACGATGCATTTTCGTATAAATTCAGCATCCTGAACTATATTGTCAGCTCGAAAATGACACAGATAGCTTGCTTGTTCCTCAGCGGACTTCAGTTGCAACATAGACGATGGTGTTAATGGTGTTGATAATCCTGTCCCTCGCTGCATGTCAAACACGTTAGCTTAAAGATGATGGGATTTATACTGTCTTAAACTTAGAATGGTCTGCAACGTGCCTGATCCAATAAAATTACACGATATTCTTCACATGCTTTACCAATCCATCCGCTTGCTTCAGTTGGCCGTGGAGATTCAAATCCTGGTCCTCCTTGCAAGTACAACAGGTATGGGAGGGATTGGTCTTCTTTCCCAGCTGCACTTGATATATGGGAGGAAGAAGATGTAGAAAATGAAATTGAACGCAAAGAGAAACTCAATGACAAGGGAGACGCAAATCGACTATCGTATTCTAGCAGGAATTGAATGATTTCCTTTTTAAGTCCCATTTTTTTCTTTTCCAATCATCAAGAAGAAAGATAAGTGTTGGTAAAGGCATTTCAGGAAGGGTACAACATAGGCATATCTGTATAAAAATCAGAGATCATGATTATACAGTTAACTTTTTCAGCATTTTTGTTTTTGGGAGGGGGGGGTTGATTTGGATAGTTACTGATGCACTTTCAACTGCATTCCTCAATATTACAGTAAATACATATCCTCAAAATAGCATTCCTCAAACAGAGCCATTTATTCGGATAGTATGTAGAAACTTGAAAGCAACAACCAAAGAACATGCCATGATCAAACTACTCAGAAAAGGTCTCAAGAAACCAACTAACTTGCTCTTGACTACATAAGACGTAAAAACTGGGGGTATTTGAGGCTATCATTATTGTTATCCACATAACTCATTACCACTATTAAGCTAATGCTGACCAAGTTCACATTTTCTTTTCTTACTATTGTGAAAGCGAGGCATAACATGCCCAGACAATTCAGAACTAACAAAGCCTACTACTACGTTACACAATCAGTAAAAGCTACGAGCAAATACCATACCATGCGATCAGCAAGCAGTTAAACAAACACACGTCACATAAAATTCCCTGCCTGCATCTAAAATGTCGAGTAGTGCAAGCAAAATTCAAAGAGAATATGAAAGTAAAAAGAATAACGTGAGTGCAAGTCAAAATAGCAGAGTATTTTACTTGAAAAAGATGGAAGTTGGAAGAGTTAACATATGATGGACGTACCCGCGACGACTTCTCGGGCAAAAATGGAGATTTTAGGAGTAGTGGTAGTATAGGACTGATTGCGAGAGTAGTCGAGGGGGACGGAGAATCTGTGGTCGCGAAGTCGGAGGTCGGGGACGGAGTACCAATTTCCAACGACGTGGTCCGGGGAAGAGTCGGCCGAGATGGCTTTGGCCTTAGCAGTGGAATACATGGCGGTTAGATTTGGCGTCCGAAATAGAGGATTTGGTTTACTGGGACTGGTTCTGGATGGCGGAAATAGTGAATTGAGATGGGGGAGAAAGTAACGAGGTGGAGGTATCAATATAAAGCGGAAAGGGAGACGGGGACGAAGTATGGACTGTATAGTATTAGCAGTATTTAGCAAAGAAGGTGGTGACACCAGCATCGCGCGAAGTCAATGGTTTGTTTCCTTACTTTTGACGGTTGTTTCTAAAGAAGTCTCTGCCTCTCAGGTCCCTAACAGGCTAAAAAGCTTAAACTGGGACTCCGCCGCAAAGAAAGTCCGACATGAGACTCCGGGCGTTTAACTTCAAAAACCTCCCGCCTCTCCTAAAACCGCCAAAACCCCAATACTCCTCCTCCACCGCCACTCCCCGCCACTTCTCCACCGAACCTCAGAACCCTCCACCACCAACACCACCTCTGCAGTTTTCGGAAGACCACAAACACACTATACCCCAAATAGTCTCCCTCCTTCAAACCACCAGCCCGGATGAGTGGCCCACCAACACCCACCTCCACCACCTCCTCCTCTCCGCCTCCCCCCATTCCCTCCTCAAAATCACCCGCCAATTGGGTTCCTTGCAAAAATCCCTCCAATTTTTCGACTACCTCAAGAACGACTACCCTTCTGATTCCTCACCCACTTCCCCACCGGCACCTCTTGGCATTTCACCTCTTTCCTTCGCATTTCAAGCTGTCCTGGAGCACGCTGTGCGCGAGGAGGACCCAAAATCACCTGCTAAGCTCCTCGAATTGTTCAACTTCTCGAAAGAACAAAATGTCCCTCTTTCACTCAACTCTGCAACCCTTCTGATTAAGCTCTTCGGACGAGCTAAAATGTGCGATGAATCCGTGACCGTGTTTAGCGAACTCCGCCCAGATTTAAGAAACATCCACGTGGTTAATTTGCTGTTAGATTCGTTGCTGAAATCAGGTCGCATAGATGATGCGTTGAAGATGGTCGACAAAATGCTTAAGTCGCAGTTAAACGTTCAGCCTAATGACACTACTATGGATACGGTGTTGTCAGCATTTTTTACTAGAAATTGGAGTGGGAGAAATGTGAGGGAGGAAGAGATTATTGGCATTGTTTCCGGGTTTGGGGAGCACGGTATCTTTCCCGATAGCGTGTGGTTAACTCAATTGGTATCCAAGTTCTGCAGGAGTGGGAAGTGTGACAAAGCTTGGGAGGTTTTACATATGGTAATGAGATTAGGTGGCGAGCTAAATGCCGCTCCTTACAATGCTCTTTTGACAGGATTGGGTAAGGAGAATGATTTCCGGAGGATGAATTTGCTTATGATTGAGATGAAGGAGAAGGATATTTCACCTGATGTTAAGACATTTGGAATCTTGATTAATCATTTGTGCAAATGTCATAGAGTGGATGAGGCGTTGGAGACATTTAAGAAGATGAGGGGTGGGAATGAGGGTGACGAAGTTTGTGTGGTGCCTGACGTTGTTGTGTGTAATACTATAATTCATGGGCTGTGCAAGGTGGGGAGACAAGAAGAAGGGCTGAAGTTTATGGGAAACATGAAGTTGGAGCATGGATGCATGCCTAATACTGTTACGTACAATAGCATAATTGATGGATTCTGCAAAGCTGGTGAGATTGAGAGAGCATTTGAGCTTTTTGAGAGGATGAAGAAGGATGGGGTAGAGCCGAATGTGATCACGCTCAACACCTTGGTAGATGGAATGTGCAAATGTGAGCGAGTTGGTAGCGCCCTCGAGTTTTTTGATAAAATGCAAGAAAAGGGTTTGAAGGGCAATTCTACAACTTACAGTATCTTGATTACTGCCTTTTGCCGTTCCAACAACATTGATAAGGCAATGGCATTGTTTGACCAGATGTCACAAAGTGGCTGCCCTTCAGATGCAATTGTGTACTACAGCTTAATATCAGGCCTTACCCGAGCTGGAAGACTGGATGATGCTAGTTCTTTTGTGTCAAAATTGAAAAAAGCTGGGTTCTGCTTGGATATCATCACTTATAATGTTCTAATTGGCGGATATTGTAGGAAGAATAAATTTGAACAAGCATATGAGATATTTAAAGATATGGAACATGCTGGAGTGAAGCCTGATCGTGTGACATACAACACACTGGTTTCATATTTTTGTGAGAAAGGGGATTTTGAAACCGCACATAGATTGCTGAAGAAGATGATGCAATATCGTTTTCTGCCCAATGTTGTGACTTATGGAGCACTGATCCATGCATATTGCAAGGCGGGTCACCTTGATGAAGCGATGAAAATTTTCAAGGAAATGAATTCTTCTTTAAAGGTATCAGCCAATAATGTTATATATAATACTCTAATAGACGCTCTTTGCAAGAGTGACAAGGTAGACGTTGCACTTTCTTTAATGGATGATATGAAGGAGAAGGGGGTCAGAGCAAATACCACAACATACAATGCCATGCTTAAAGGCCTTCGAGAGAGGAATTGGTTGGAGAAAGCATTCAAACTTATGGATGAAATGACAGAGAAGGCCTGTAATCCTGACTATGTTACCATGGAAATCCTTTTGGAATGGCTTTCTGCAGTTGGTCAAACAGAAAAGTTACGACGCTTTGTACAAGGATACGAGGTTTCTGCTTCAGTCCCTTAGATCTTAGCATACCTGTGGAAGAATATGATTCCTACTCGAATTTGCTATTCTGCAGCAACGGGAGAATCAGCAGTTTGCTCAAGTTGTTGGGCAGATGTGAAGGCTCTGATGCTGTATTATTTTCTTCAAACTTTGGCTATCGAGATTGTATCACTATGACTGAGTTATTGGATATTTTGGCCAATTAAAATGCACTTGACTGATTTTGTCTGTCCATGCTGTCTTGCAAACTGGGATTAGATACATAATTACCCGGATACATTCACTTTGTTATTTTTGTTTGGCTGAAGTCAGCAATTTTAATCTCAAACACGTGGAAATAAAAGTTTCCTTGACTGCTCTGATCGAGGACATTGTAGTTGAGCATTTGTAATTGTTATTATTCATCATAATTTTGATCTGCTATCACGCTTCATCTCTCATGTTGAGGGCATACAAGTTTGACTTGGCATCTGAATTGTTGAAGGCTTGTTTTTTTTCTGGTTTTGGGGGATACATCTCAGAAATGCTCCTGAATTAGCATCCTAGCTTTGTAACCATGGATGAACTAGGAAGCTTGAAATTTGTTCATTGGAATTGTCTATACGCTAGTGCAAGTGCAACAGGTTCAACTTCAAAAGTTGGCTGCAATAAATCGTGTCAGGAAGTTAATTCAAAACAGGGTTCAGGAATCTTTATAAGACTGTTGATTTTGCCAACTAAATTAGCAGCAGGTAGACTGTTTGATGCTGCTTCAAATTCTATCCATTACTGTGATATGATATTACCACATGGAAATTGGAATCTGACCTGTGTCGAGCAAAAGAACTGGAGGAATACATGTTAATTGTCATATTGGAAGGAACTTTAATCTTAGCAGTGTGTGTGTATAATGTAAAGCTAATATAGATACACTTGAACGTTGCACTTGTACACTTGCAAGGGCTGGACTGCACTGGTAAACGGTAATCCTTGGACAAAGATCAGATGATTCCATGACCAAGTGCGTTGTCAGAGATTAGAGAATTTTCTTACAGGCTTGAGCAGGACAGCCATGAAGCCAATTGGTTAATGGCCTAATGCTACCAGCTGCACCACACATCTTCAGCAGAGGCTATGCTATCATTATTGGTGCTACCAAACTAACCAAAATTGACTTTGGGACAATGGTTATCACCATTGCTAGTGCGCTGACCCAAACTTCGTCCCCACCCTTTGACCATTTCCCCGTTGTCAGTTCCCACGAATAAAAGAACCCAAAAACTCCCATGGAGTCTGAGGAGGAGGAATTCTCAACACTGGTTCATTACTTGAGCCCAATATAACCATTCCCCATGTGGTGGCGAGTGTCCCAAATGCTTCCGAGGAAAGGGAAGGAAATTTAACAACACAATGCATATATATCGGCCAAAATTTTGGGCAATAAATCAGTAAGCATCCCATCTATATCAAGTTGTTTACAAATGCAGTTAACGCAAATACCAAATGCAAGAAACGCATCGTCTTTGGCACGTCTGTGAGCTGATCAGTGCCATTTTATGTGCAAACTATGATCAACTAACATTAAATTTGAGATCATCACAATAATTAAAATCAATTAATTCACTGAACCCATTTCTGTAGTACAACGCTACTATCACACAATACTCCTATGGAATCAGCTACTTTTTTCCCTCTACAAGACTCGGTTACTAGCTATAAAGGAAGAATTTTACATTACCTCACAAGGAAAAAATATTTCCCAAAAAAAAAAAAAGAAAAAACAGAGAGAGAGAAAAAGAAAGAAAGAGATATTTATTCTACTACTACAAACTACAGTACTAACATTGTGGTCTCAAGATTCTCTTTACTTTCTCTTAACAGACAAAAAGATACTCTGCTGCCTGCTACAAATCAAAGGAAAAGTGAGCGAGAAGAAAAGCATCTCGCTTCTTATGCTCTTTGTCAGGAGTCAATGCTCCGGCGGAGTCAACAACCGCCGGCGGCTGTGCCTGTGGTACTGTTGGCATTATTTGCCAGCCAAGGCAGCTGCTGCATGCTCTGCGGAAAGTGATCAGAGGAGAAATTATCTGTTACAGCTGATTTTCCGGCAAATTCTTCCAGCCCTTCAAAGAAATCGTCATCCATAGCCATCTCGAAGCCGCTGACATCATCTTCTTCATCCTCAAGAATCTCCTCTTTGCTTGTTTCTAGTTCCAGCTTTTCTGGCGCCGGAGAGACGCTGGCAGACGGTGAAACCGGTGGTGAACTAGACGGTTTACTGGGGTCACCGGAACTGGTGGATTGTGGGGTTGCTGGCTTGTTACGAGTGCTACCGGCTAGGGAGTTCCTGTGAGTTGGCATAGGGTGGTTGTGTTCGCCTGTGTAGGTGACAATGTATATTCCCGGGTCGGATCTGTTTCGCTCCACCTGTTTCCGGGCCAAACAGCCCTTTGAGGTGCTACATCTGTAGTAACCTCTGCAATTTGACAAAAACCACCCACAACAAAGAAATCAGCAAATAGGCCCATAGTATTGCATAGATTTCCTCCAGAAAACAGGGCAATAAATTCGGAAATGTTAAGATTAATGCATTTTGTAAGCAAAACGTTCCTCGTAGATTACTACAGATACAAGTGATGCGAAAAGTGGAGTATCCCAAGTTTAAAAACTAAACATCTTTTTCTTTTTGGTAATAGAAAAAGGAAAGAGGAATACTTGCTTGGAATAAACCTTGAAGAGTTCTCTTAGTCTCTGACCACAAGTTTTTTAATTTTTTTTTTTCAATAAAACATGAAAAGTCGAGATTGCACAGCATAGAACAAGAAGAGACAACCACCTTGGATATGGGGAGCCTTTGATGGGTTTTTGCCCGTATTTTCTCCAAGACCACATGTCAGAAGATGAAGCTTCGGCTGGCACTTGACAGACTCTCTTCAACTGGTTCTTCCTGTGAAAAAATCCACCAAAATTACTCCGTATCAATAAAAATGTAATCTTTTTTTTTCCCCAAATGGGGTCTGCCAATGATTCGAGAATTCCGTTAGAACAACCTTTAAGGCTGCAAATTTTACCTTCTTTTGGACCTGTGGTTGGATGTACTCGAAGAACCGTTAGCACCACTACTTCTAGAGCTAGCACCAATAGGTAGCAAAGTACTACTATGCTTTGGTTGATATATTTGTTGCTGTTGTTGTTGTAGCTGTTTTTTGGGCTGCTGCTGCTGCTGCTGAGGTGGCTGTTGAGACAGATCTTGTAATCCTCCAAGAACAGAAAGTGGGGATATGGGGATGCTTTGTGGAGAAAGGGGTGGTGATGATTTGGGGAAGAATGGTTTGTACAAATCATGCAAGTCTTGATCAACAACAGCGCTAATACTACTTTGACTTCTTGGCTCAAAAAATAGATCTTGAAAACAAAGGAAGTTTCCATCTTGATGCGGTTCAAATCCACATAAAGGGCGAAAACTGTTGCCTGTGCATGTAGCTGTGGCGGCGGAGCTGCCAGATGTGGTGGTGGTTGTGGCGGTGCAGCCTCTGACCACCGCCTGCAGATCCCAGTCATCTGCCATTCTCCGCTTCTTAATCCTAAGAGGGGCAAAGGAACAGAATAGAAAGAGAAAGACTTGGTTGAAGAAAGAGACAAAACAAGGCGCTGACTTTTGGAGGCAAGAGAGAGGGAAGGGGAAAAAAGATAATGGGAGGGTGAGGGGGTGGGCTTGATGGGAAACAATTTATTTATAGGGAGAGAGAAAGTGAATTGACAGAGAGAGAGGGGAATTTATGGGGGGCTGGGTTGGCATTATCAAAGGACAGTGGCCTTCTTTCTTATCTTTTTGTTAGATTATTAATCCATCTTTGTTTTTGAGCTTGAGACGATGGTTTTATGGGAATCTGATGATATGCGAGGGTGGTGGGGGTTGACTTGTAAAAATGTCAAAGGGGGTAGGGCGTGTTTGCTCTACGAAGACAAAGTCCACACACGGTGGTGGGTGGGTAGAGTGGTGGCAGTGTGTGTTCTTGAGCTTTCGCGCATCGTGACTCGTGACTTGTGAGCAAGTCTCATTGGACACTTACCGACAAAAAGAAGGGTGGCTTTCTGGTATGGGATGCCCCTCCCTAAGATAGTAAGATGATGGTAAGGGACGTGTGCTTACTCAGTCCTCATGCGCGTGCTGACAATTTTTTATTATATGATTCTCATTTTTTGTTACAATAATTAAGGATAAAATGGCGCACGTACTTTCTTTCTTCTTTTTTTTTTTTTACTGAAAGAAAAAACAAAGCGTTCGTTTGAACGGTGTGCACTTGAAAAGTTTGTGTAAAATAACTTATTGTAAAATTTTTACAAAAAAACATTTGAGTATTTGAAAACTTTTCTATTTTTTCTCTTTTATTTCTTTCATTTCTTCTTTTTCCTCTGTTTCTACCAAGCCTTGCGTGGCAGTAGTAAACACTCAGCAACGGTGCTGCCATCGACCGCCATATGTCTGTTCAGCAAAATTAATCACAATTACATTCATACTTGATTTTTTTGCATGGATTCTGTTTTCAATATTGTTAGTTTTTACAGAAAATAAATGAAAAGTAATGAAAAATGGAAATAGCCAAGTCTCTTTCTCCTACCCTTTGCCGTCCCACCGATAGCCATTTCTTCCCTTCACCTCTTTTTTTTTCCCCTTCTCCCTCTATTTCTCTTTATCCTCCCTCCCTCATTCTCTTTTTCTCTCTTCTTATCAAGTTTTTAGAAAGATTTTGCTGTCCACCCGCTTTATGTCCGCCATTGTTCAAAGGACAAGGAGGAAATAATAAAAAGAACAAAGAAATATGCTAAAAATGACAAAAACAAAAGCACAATTGTGAGAAAGAAAAGGCAAAAAGAGGGGGAAAGAAAAGGATCCCAAGCGATGTAGTTTGGGTGGGGTGCACTGCAGGTCAACACATTGATGACTAATAGTTTGTGAGGAACGTATGCAACCTAATGCGTTCTCAACATCATGGCATGCGATTCCCTTTGGTTTTCAAGACGAAAAACTTATATAACAATTTTTTTCCCATTTGTCTCATCAAAGACGGTACTAGTATAATGTAATATGCTCTCTTCCCTCATCAAGCAGTATTTCCAAAGCTGACGATTTGATTTTGCTTCTACTTTTAGGTAATTATACTTATCTAATGCTCTAAAACAAGTCCCTTTTTTAATGTTCACCATCATGAATCAAGGCAAGACATGCCCTTAAAACCGAAATCACTTACAATGTTCATATACATCCTCACTAATACAATCTTCATATTAACAGATTTTCTACTAATATAATTTTTATATTGACAACATAACTCGAACACAGGATCTTTATTTAAAAAGTGACTGAACTTATTAATTGAAC